ATTCTACATCTTGTAAAAACTAGAATAAACCTTATAGGATAACATTCTATAGAGGACAACAACATAAAATATTTTTCGTTGCTAAAAATGAAATAACTCAAGCAATGAAATGTTATATAATATTGCAAACATCTGAGAATAGAATACGAAAATAATAAAATGATTAATTAATAAGACGCCTATTAGAATGTCTTATTTATACCTGTTGATAGATCATTATAATATAGACGTAAAATATAATTATGCTTGATGACTACAATTTTCATAGCTTTCCTTAACTGTTAACAAAATTGCTATCCAAATGAAAGCATTTCTTCTGAACTTAAAATTTTTAATACAATCTTTTTAAGGGTTCATTTTTTTCTAATATCGTCAATTCATCTGTTAAATCATGGGAATTTTTTTTTTTTTTAATTTGCTAACTTTTTTTTTCTGCTAACTCATTTTCTTAAATATCATCATCTACTAAATCATGCAAATTATGGTAAATAATTCAAAAATGTCTGATAAGGAGAGAACAGTAGATTAAATTAATATATTTCGAAATAAAATTGATGACATATTTGTATATTAGATAATTAATTTCTTTAATTCAATGTTATTTTCTTTATGGCATGTAATCAACTGAAATCAAGGTGATAGAGAAATTATCATTGGTACCTTAATTTCAGGTAACTAAGTAAGGTATTTTCCTACAAATTTTTATTTTTTGTTTTTGATATTACTACTGATGAGATTTATTTCATTTATTTGCTTAGCTTTATGTGTAGCGGTAATTTTATTTTTAAAAAAAAAATAAAAAATGTTCTGATAAGCAATTTATCAACTCCAAACATCATACAGGATACGAAATACCTAAAAATATTGCTCTATGCTGATCGAGAATTACCCGTTTTTTTAATCATGTTGAATTCTTTGAATGAATGCGGTAAAATGATTAGATGATAGAGATAGCATTTCTATCCCACATGATGATTGATCGTTCATTCATGATTAGGAATAAGGAGATGGACAGATTCATCGGTGGCAGGAAATGTTTTAAACGTTACGTCAATTATACGCCAGGTAGCTTATATTTACCTTTCCCATTCACTTTTTTAATCTCAATGATAAATTTTTTTCTGTTCGATTTAATTCTTAAACCATTATTTCTTCATATAACATGAATTTTAAATTGATGAAAAAAGTGCATTTTATACATTTCGTTTCCTGAATTTTATACATTTCATTTCTCGAATCTTTTTATTTTTTCATTTTTAAAATGTTTGAGAATTCAAATCACTACATCATCATGTTTTTAGAAATGCAAAAATTGCTGAGATAGAAAAATTATAACTTTTTTTTCCTATCAGTAATGCATATATTATCAAAATTTATCAATAATTGAATTGCATATGCAAAAGTTTCATTGTTTGATCAATTGATTTGGCTGGAAAAATTGATCACTTTTAAATTGCTTGCGTATCATCCCTATTTCTGCGACATAAAACCTGAAAAGCTCCAGATGACTGTTCAATATCAATATAGTTAATTAAAATCAATATAGTTATTTAAAATTTCACTTACATTGCAAACGGTGAACATTTGTAAAATTGATCAGGTAATTAAATTGTAATCAAAATATGAAATGAATACATCTCAGATCAAAACTATTATGATCATCGTTGTAAAGGCATTCAAAAACAGTTATTTCAGTTTTTTTTGTAAAGTTTTACAATCAGATTATCAAACTTCTTGATCTTGAAGTGTTGAAATAAGTCAAACTTCATCATGAATTTAAAATTATGGAGAAATTATGAATAAAAACTACACAAAGAATTTAACAAATCAAAATTTTCAATATTGCTGTGCTCTACGATTGATCATACAATTTTCATGGTCCAACGAAAATTTCACAAATTTGTAAAATTTCCAAAAATAAGTAATACTTTAAATTTGTAAATTGCACTTCCTTCTAACCGAAATACTTCATCTTTTATTACTGTTGTTGCAAATTCTTCCTTTAAATCTGCTGATCCTAAATTAAGCAAAAACGAAAACAAAAAATGTCAAAAAGTTATTTAATTCTTTTCTATCTAAATGCAATTTACTTGATTACAGTTTACTGCGTTTCAATTTAATTTTTTAAACAAAATTTACATAAATGTTCCCTACTGTAATATTCTTCTTCTCAAATCTACAAAATTCAATTCCTTTTCTTCCTCTTTTCATTTCAAATAAAAAAACAAAAAGAAAGTCAAAAAAAAAAAAACAAAATACCAATCTACCTAAATATTCGTGTCCTTCCTCATCAATCACTAATACGCATGGTGTAGCAAATCCAATATGTACCGGATTCCATTCCTTTAAACCGATCTTTGCCGCTTCATTATACGGCTGCCAACTGTAATCAAAGCCAGCCGCAGATGGTGGTATTCGTATTAAAAGTTGCAATGAACCAATAACTTTACTCAAAAATGGCATTTTTCTGCTAAAAAAAAAAAAAAAAATTTTATCACTTTACAAGTTAGAAATGAATGAATGGAAAAATTTTTATTAGTTACTTATCACTATATAATCACTGCTTAAGTACTTTATTCATTACTTTTCTCCTAGCATTTCAATTGAAGAAAAAAAATAACAACAGAAAATTTTGAAGATTTAATTGCTACAAAAAAAAAAAAAGATCAATCATATGCACCGTTATGTATGAAAAATTGAATAATGGAACAGAGTGGAGAGTAAGTATTGCAATAGTAACAGGATCTTATTATATAATTAATTGATCAGATAGGAACAAAATAATAAAATTACATTAATAATATAATAAGAAACTGATAAAAAATATTAATAATGAATGGATGAATAATAAAAAATTAACTAA